AGGAAAAAAAAAAAAAAAAAAAGAAGAAGAAGAAGAAGAAGAAACCAGGCAGGGGTAGACAGGGACTATTCACTTAGGAAACAAGGAGGCAGTTTCATTGCTTTTTCCAAGCACATGGGGTGAAGATATTCTGGCCCCACGCCATTCCCCTACCCTCCTCTGCACCTGCTCTGTTCCCTCTTAACCTGTATTTTGAAGAACCTTTTGTATTCACTACACAAAGATCATGCCTCTATTAAAATAGACAACTAGCAGGGCATGGTGGCTTATGCCTGTAATCCCAACACTTTGGGAGGCCAAGGCAAGAAGATTTGAGCCCAGGAGTTCGAGACCAGCCTGGGCAACATAGCAAGACCTCCTCTCAAGAATAAGAATAAATTGGCCAGGCACGTCGGTGGGCACCTGAAGTCCCAGCTACTTGAGAGGCTGAGGCAGGAGGATCACCTGATCCTGGAAGTTTGAGGCTGCAGTGAGCCATGATTGTTCAGCTGCACTCCCGCCTGAGTGACAGAGTTAGATCCTGTCTCCAAAACGGAAAAATAATAAAGTAAAATAGATACCACACTGGAAAGTCTGATTCTTCTTGTTGGTCTGCATTCCTGATCTGACTTCAAAGCAGCGGGGACAGGTGGGGATCGGTGTCAATATCCCCTAGGCCACCTGCCCTGCCAACCTGTGGTCAGCTCCAGGGTGCGAAGCTCGAAGGGGATGCCGTTCTTTTTGGTGAAGATGTAGACTGCACGGCAGGGCTGGGCCAGCAGGTAGGTGAGGGCTGGGCAGGAACTGCTGGGTCACTGAGCCTGCGGAGCTGCTTGGCACCGGGAGCCCGAGCCCGGCCATGCCCTCCTCACTCAGCGGTTGGCTCCAGAGAACTTTGTGCCAATCAGTGGTGCGTCCGCTCTCTCACCTCCCCTTCCTGGGAATCTAGGCTGCGGGTATCTTTCCCACTAAAAGGGAAGAGAAGAAAGGAGGTGCAGCAGCCTCCTTGCCCAGTGTCAGGGCCCAGTGCCCAGGATGGAGGCCAGAGAGGAAGGGTGGCTGGCTGCCCGCAAGGCTGCCAGCCCCACACCTCATGGAGGAATGAGCTGTCCCTCCCCAGCCGCTGGAGTCATATTTATTACACTCCAGCAATCCTTCCCCCAGATGGCTGAGGCCCTGCGAGGCCTAACCAGAGGTTTCTAACAGTGCCTAGCATTGCACAGAACTTCCTATCCACTATTCAACGGCAACTCTAGGGCTTCTGAGGCCTGTGGCGATGACACTCACATTTCCCGAGGGAGCCTCCCAAGGTAGGAAAACCCTAAATCCAAGATAGAGAGAAAGACCGTTGGCAAGAGGATGGTTACTGGAAACTTGACAATAGCCTTGCTGCCCTGGTCCCCATGGTTCCCACCTGCCCCTTTTGTTGAGATAAGAGTCTCTGTTGCTCAGGCTGGAGTCAGTGACATGATCATAGCTCATTGCAGCCTCGACCTCCAGGGCTCAAGTGATCAAGTGATCCTCCCACCTCAGCCTCCCAAGTAGCCGGGACCACAGGCGTCACATCTGGTTACTTTTTATTTTTATTTTTAATTTTTTTTCTTTGTAGAGACAGGGTGTCACTATGTTTCCCAGGCTGGTCTCCAACTCCTGGGCTCAAGTGATCTTCCTGCCTCAGACTCCTAAAGTGCTGAGATTACAGGCATGAGCCACCACAGCCAATCCCATGGTGCCCACTGAAAGAAGGCCCATCCCCCGCAGAAGTGTCTTCCTGGCCTAGTGCAGCAGCTCTCTCCAGACTGAGAGGGGCCACATTCTCCTGCCCCTTCAGTTGCCTGCCCCTTTTCACAAGTCACCTTTGGCCGGGATTACTGCAATATCAAATCTCCCTGCTTCCTCCCTGGCTGCCTTCCAGTCCAACCCCCAGCAGCAGCCAGAATGTTATTCGAAAACACCATCAGAGCACTCCATTCCTGCTAACAGTTTACAGCCAGGCACCTAGGCATGGCATTTAGGCTCCTGAATGACTGGGTTTTGACCAGGAGAGCTGCTGTTTGGATTTTCTCCTCCCGACCAGTTCCTCAGGAGCGACACAAGACTCATGACTAACAGTAAGGGTCATGTCCTGGGAGGCCAACGCAGCCAACTGCTGGGTCACCATGCTTACAGCCACCGAATGTGGAATGCTGCTGGGCCTTGTGCTGTCAGATACTTACTTTCTCCAAGAATTAGAAGGCTACAGGAAATGTTTTGTTTTGTTTTGGGTTTCTTTGTGTGTTTTTAGAGACAAAGTCTTGTTCTGTTGCCCAGGCTGGAGTGCTGTGGGTCAATGAGAGCTCACTGCAGCCTTGAACTCCAGGCTCAAGCAATCCTCCCGCCTCAGCCTCCCAAGTAGTTAGAACTACAGTTATGCACCACCACACCTGGCTAATTAAAAAAAAGAATTCTTTTGGGCTGCGTGCAGTGGCTTGCACCTGTAATCCCAGCACTTTGGGAGGTAGAGGTAGGAGCATCCATTGAGCACAGGAGTGCAGGACTAGCCTGGGCAACATGGCAAGACCCCGTCTGTACAAAAAACAATTAACTGGGCGTGCTGTGGTGCGCACGTTGTCCCAGCTTCTTAGGAGGCTGAGGAGGGACTATCGCTTGAGCCTGGGATGTCGAGGATGCAGTGAGCCACGGTTGTGCCACTGTGCTGCAGCCTTGGCAACAAAGTGAGACCATGTCTCTGAAAAAAAATTTTTGTTGGATCCAGGCAGTGGCTCACAGCGCTTTCGGAGGCAAAGGCACGCAGATCACTTGAGGTCCAGAGTTTAAAACCAGCCTGGCCAACACAGTGAAACCCCGTCTCTACTAAAAATACAAAAATTAGCCAGGTGTGATGGCACATGCCTGTAATGCCAGCTGCTTGGGAGGCTGAGGCAGGAGAATCACTTGAACCCGGGAGACAGAGGTTGCAGTAAGCCATGGTCGTGCCACTGCAGTCCAGCCTTGGCAACAGAGAAAGACTGTCTCAAAAAAAAGTTTTTTTGAACTCCTGGACTCAAGCAATCCCACCACCTGGACCTCCCAAAGTGCTGGGATTATGAGCATGTGCCACCGCACTTAGCCACGTTGGTTAATTTCACTACTGGCAAACATCAGGGAGAAGCTGATCCACAGGGCCTGGGAAGGGGGATTGTCTTTTGGATAGAGATCAAGACCAGGGTTGGGACAAAGGAAAGTCAAATAAATCACACATTTGAGTTAGAAGCAGAGGCTCAGGCTGAGACCAGGTTTATTATCCAAACTTAAAATGAAATGCAGTGATTAAAGGACACAAGGTCTCAGTGTGCATCATTCTCATGTGGCTTTCAGGCAGCTCTGGAAGACAGGGTAAGGATGGTGGCCTGGGAAGCTGAGGCGCTCTGACACTTCGGCAAGTCTTAAGCAAGCCATTCCTGCTCTCTGGGCCTGGGTCCCATGGGCCATTAGAAATTAAAGTGATGGCCAGGTGTGGTGGCTCATGTCTGTAATCCCAGCTCTTTGGGAGGCCGAGGCGGATGGATCACGAGATCAGGAGCTCAAGACTAGCCTGACCAACATGGTAAAACCCTGTCTCTACTAAAACTACAAAAATTGGCTGGACACAGTGGTGGGCGCCTGTAATCCCAGCTGCTGGGGAGGCTGAAGCAGGAGAATAGCTTGAACCCGAGAGGTGGAGGTTGCAGTGAGCCAAGATGGCACCATTGCACTCCAGTGATGGGCAACAGAGCAAGACTCTGTCTCAAAAAAGAAAGAAAGAAGGAAGGAAGGAAGGAAGGAGAGAAAGAAAGAGACAGAAAGAGAGAGAGAGAGAAAGAAAGAAAGTAAGAAAGTGAAAGTGCTTTGTGAACTGCTGAGGGCAGTGCAGGGGTGAGGTTTCCCAGCTCACTAGATAATGGCCAGTATCCTGGGCATCAGCTTCTGCTTTGTGGTGGGGTCTGCAGGTGGGCAGTCCTTGGCCTTCAGAATGATCTCATGGGCCTCCCGGAAGAGGTCCTCCCCCACTGCTGCCTCCACACGATTCCGCCATGCGGCTAGCTTGGGTCGGCCTTCAAAGACTTGGCAGCCAGCACCTACGGGCTGTGGGGAAAAGGGGACAGAATGGGGATGGATGGTTGTAAGGGCAAAGATGGGCAGCATCTGATTTGGGGACCACAGAAGCTCCAGAAGGGGTTTGCACACACACACATAAGCACAGTCCCGTAGCCAGGTGGGGCAGGCATAAGCAGGACTTCAGCAACTAGCCAGGAACCCCTGCCTAGTGGGCCCACCTGCCCCCAGCACTCACATGCATCAGCTCCGTGATGGCTACCAGGTCAGCTAAGGAGATGTGAGGCCCTGCGAGGAAGGCCTTGTTCTGGAGGAACTCGTCCTCAAGCAACTGCAGGTTCACATCCAACTCCGCCAGGGTGGCTGCCAGGGTTTGCGGAGACACTGGCTCACCCAGGAAAACAGGGAACATCACCTGGGGATGGGGCAGGCGAAGTGGGGAGTTAGTGGAGTAGGGAGTTAGTTCTGGTTTGCATTTCCCTAAGGATTAGTGATGCTGAGCATCTTTTCTTGTACTTGTGGCCCAAAATGATAATATTCTGAATATATTGTGTTAAGTAAAATATATCGATTTCTTTTTACTTGTTTTGTTTTGTTTTGTTTTTGTTTTTGTTTTTGTTTTTTTGAGACGGAGTTGCGCTCTTGTTACCCAGGCTGGAGTGCAATGGCGCGATCTCGGCTCACCGCAACCTCTGCCTCCCGGGTTCAGGCAATTCTCCTGCCTCAGCCTCCTGAGTAGCTGGGATTACAGGCACGCGCCACCATGCCCAGCTAATTTTTTGTATTTTTAGT